CGGCGCGACCTGAGGCATGCCAGACTGTGATCGCTCTGGGAAAGCTCGCCCGACAGCTCCTACCCCTGCAGCTTTGGATCACCAAACCAGCCACGTAACGGCAGTGCCGGGAGGCCTCAGCAGAGATCACACGCAGGACCCTCCGCACTGAAAGTGCGAGCTACAAGGGGAACCCCTGCAGCTGGGAGCAAGCAACTGACTGTGACAAGAGCCGGGCTCCAAGTGCAGGCACCAAGTCAGCATCTGAAATGTGTGCGCTGCAACGGGCCATCTCCAGCCAGCTGTACTTCTCCCCTGCCACCACCTGTCACACCAGGGCGCTATTTACCACACCCCGCTCAGCGGGGGATAGGCAGTAAACATGAGTAGTCGTGCAGTGGTGGATAACATCCAAGACAGGAGGAGAGAGTGTGTGTGCATATGTGTGTGTACACACATGCTTCTGGGTTAGCACGCGACTCTCGTCTGGTTCTCTGCCCGGCGGATGGAGTTCTTGATCCAATTTGGAATGAATTTTCAGCTCTTCATCCAGGCTCTCCCATTTGTTACCCTTGTCACAGCATTTTGATGAACGGCTGCTATTGGATTTTCTCCGCGGGGCTATCAATCGTCAGCACGAGGGATTCAATTAAGCACTGCAGACCCGCACTCGGAGCCACAGGCACTGAGCCCTCGGCAACGTCGGAGGGGTAACGCAGATGAACACCAGGACAGCAGCACCACCGAGGGCTGCGCTTTCCCAAGCAACAGCTGAGAAAAGCAGGGGGGAAGGACACCCAGGTCCCTGCCTGTCCGGCATCTCGGTAACTCGCTTTCCAAGACAGAGGACTAATGGGGACTCCCCCGAGCTACAGGGATGAGATTCCTGAGCCATCATCTCATCCGGAATCCAGCTGGCTTAGAGAGGGACGTTTCCAGGGACAGTCAAAGTGGTAGCCACTGAAATCCGCAGCCCCTCTGCCGAGGCGGAGATGCCTCACCAGACTTATCAATGTAGAAGATGGTTTGCATCAGCCCCGGCTAAGCAATAGTTTGTTTCCCCAGATGTTCCTAAAGGCAGGGGGCAGGGCTGTAAATTAGAGGTGTCCAACCTGCCAAGGATGGTGCAGGTCTGTAATGCCCAGCGTTTTTAGTCTATCCTGTTCGGATAGGGAGGGTCGGCTCTCCAGGGGTATGATCTGTTCCCATGGCTTAAAGAGCCTGGGAATTCCTGGTCACCCCAGTTACAGGGGGGACTCCAGCTCTGCCTGAATCAGGAAAAGCTACTGGATTGTGTGTGTGAACATCCAGCACTTACGCCAGCTCTGAGAGCGCAAACAGCCCCCTGACACCCCGCCCATCTGCCTCAACCCTGGGCCTCTTCCAGGTGGGAGGAGGGAAGTCAGCCTCCTTGGCTCATCCAGGCTGACAAGGAAGGGACCCGTTGTGGCGCTAGTTAGAGATGGGATAGTCCCTGTGCTCCTCTGTCCCCCTTAAAATGCGCACACCTGGCCCAAGAGAAGAGACGGACATTGCCAATCAATTCCACATGGGCCACCAGAAGGCAACAACGTCTGGACACTAACAGCACAGGTCTGGCTCGCAACTGGTGGCCTCGAGGTAGGACGCCGTAGCCCGCTGAGCAGCACGTTCCCCTTCCACTCTTCGCTTTCTGTTCCTGCCTGAAAAGGCAGCGCCACCGAACCTGCTGCTCCCTGCCTGCCCTCACAGGCGTTCTCCTCAACAGTGCTTTTGTTGTCAACGGTCCCCGAGGCAGCATTTGAGGCTGTGAGAAAGCGCATGCCCGTAGCGCGCTGGCCAATGCTGCCGGTGCCAGCGCCGGGTGCAAAACTCCACCCTGGCGCCCAGCAGCCAACGCATCCCATTAAAAAAGGGAGAGGGGGAAGTACAGGGCTCTTAAGATACAAGTGGAAAAATGCAGCCACCCAAGAATTCCTAGCCACATTCCTCCTCTTCCCTCCCCTCTGTCGCTTGCCATTCTGCAGTGATTGAGCACTTCTGGTAGGTGAGCGCAAAGGTTCGCTGGCTCCGGTGGGCCATCCCCTTCCATGTACACCCAGACAGAGCAATGAGAAACTGGGGTGCCAGGCCGTGCGTTGGCTCACGGGGTGCTTCGTAGCACTGCTGAGCCTGCAAAGGAAATCCCAGATGAAACCATGGGGTTGTTGGAGCAGGTGGAGGTGCTGGCGTGCACGGTAGCATAGGGGCATGCCTCCAGCAGCATGCCTGGGATAGGTGCAAGCTGATGTATGAATGATAGCCTTCAACGGCCAGCCCAGCAGGTGCGCTGTGTTGCAAGAGAGCATCTGGACTCGAGTTGGAGCGTTCTGAGACCAGCATGGATACAAGCCTGGCCAATTGCCATTACCAATAGGGAGGAGGACCGGAATATCATACAAGAAGATCTGGGGGACCTTGAAAACTGGAGTAACAGAAATGGGATGAAATTGAATAGTGCAAAGTGCAAGTCATGCACTTAGGGACTAACAACAAGAATTTTACTATAAGCTGGGGACCTATAGTTGGAAGTGACAGAGGAGGAGAAAGACCTGGGAAGCGCTGGGAGCTAGGGGGAAAAAGCGGCACGCTCAGGGGAGGAGGTGGAGCGGAGGTGAAGGTGAGCTGGGGCAGGGAGCTTTTCCCCGTGGGTGCTCCAGCCCCGGAGTCCCTGCAGGCCTTAAGGCCTACGAATCTAAATAACAGCCTGTGAGTTGTTCATTGAGCCTGGCTGTTATTCTTGGGGTGTGATTGGTCACCGAAATCACAAGGCACAGATTCTGCTCCCTGATTGGTTGTCAAACTTAAAAAAACAACAACCCAAAACCAAGAAGATAATGAATGATGGATCACAAACACCACATTTTTACAGTAGATAAAAATTAGAGATGAATTGTGTTAAAATAGGGAGAAGTTTTGGGATCTAGGAATATTTGAATAAGCAAGTGGTGATCTAAATTCCAGTGAAAATTTAGCAACACAACTTACACGAACCCAACCAACCAAACTCTCCAAGGTGATTCATGAGTATCTATTCGCCAGTCTCTTGACTATCAATCAACCAGTTCTATTCACAACCATGTTTTCACTCCATCCTTGGTCTACACTTGGAGCTAACTGGCAAAGTGTTTTGCTTGCACTTGTGAGTCTTCCAAATTGAGTGCAGCAAATTGAGTGCAGCCCTAAGCTTCTCAGTGGTCGTAATATTAGGTTTACCTGCAGTATATTATTCAGCCTCTAGATGGCTCTGTGTGGTGTACAGAGCCCAAACAGGGTGTGGGGACTGGTAAACAAAGGAAACAGAGTGAGAACTCAAGTTGTGGGGAAGCCGGATTGTATCTATAGTTTGTAACTGTTTTCTCCATATATCCTACTCGTCAACGGCACATAATTTTCTTGAGGATGGTTTTGATTCTCCAATGAATCTAGCCCAAGATATAAGTGCCCATTTACTTTACTGTTATTCATTTTTTAAAATCTGTAACATACAAACTCATCACAATCTCTGAAGATGTTTCTGGTGATTTAAGAATAAGCCATATATTAAGCAACAAAACTGACAAGAGGATTCAGATTGGACAGTGTCTTTCCATCCCACCAAAAGGCACAATCTGCTCAATTATGCGCGGTCATGTCAATACAAACGTCGTCAGTAGGTTGGGCACTGAAAATCTGATGGCGACCTAAATTCAGCTGAATTGAATAGAAAAATAAACTCCATTGTGAGCATGTCTACTTTAATTCCATACATTTCATTGATTCCTCCATTAAAAAAAAATTAAGTGATGCTGCCACAGAATTTCTAGCGGGCTGTACCTGAATGCCCCAGAAATGAACCCTGCCATGCGATTTAGAAACACAGGCAACATCAAGGAGTGTAGGAAACTCACGACGAGCTTTCTAAAGGGACAGACATTACAGACAAGTCGTGGACACCAACTGCCCCTTTGAAATCCATTATTCTCACGAGAAGAGGATGAACGTTAGAAAAATCGACTATATTCCTCTAGCCCAGAGCCAGCGGGCTTTTGTAATCTCAACTCTGTCTTCAGAGCTAAAACCGATTTGTTGGATGCATGTGACAGAAAACCTCTCCTCTAAATGGCTCAACGGTAAAGGCAGGAGGCCCTTTGGATCATGTCTGGAGAGATCCCTTGTAGAAACAACCTCAGTCCAGAGCCTGTGGCCCCTGCCTTATTGTGACCTCACTTATCTCTGCACGTCAGATGAAACGTGCAAGCAAGAGCAGACGCGTCAAGACCAAGAGCACAGAAAATAAACCTCCTGTGAGCCAGACTGCTGGACAATATAGCAGAGCATGCAAACAACTTCCCCTTCCCTCATGTGCTAGGCACCTTTCAAAGTCAACCCTCCCCAACAGCATTCTGGGAACATCAGCTCTGCCATTCCCTGAAGAGCAATTAAAAAATCCCCAGCTGCCAGAGCCAGGCCCAGCCGTGCTGCCAGTCAGATGCTAACGACCGACCTACCATGCACAAAGACAGAGAGGAGAGGAAGCCTTGGATCTCCTGTCTCCGCCCCGGGCAGGGTGACCGCCTTCCAAATTGCCAAAGGGGCACCTTGATCACCAAGGCAGGCAGGGAATAGCCGATGTCTGGTGAGGAACTCTCTGGAGACTAAGCCCCTCCTTTGCTAATATCACCAACACTCCCTTAAGCTGAAGTTGGTTAAGTCACGGCCTCATCTGCTTTTGAGGCACCTTAATAAGTTCTAGGAAGGTCACCTCTGAGCATGAAACAGCCGTCTCCATCCACGTATGCAACTGTAAATGACCAGAATTAATCTGCACAAGGCCCAGAGAATCCTGTTTCTCCATCCCAGGAGCTAGAGAAGCACAGGCCGAGAGGTGGGTACGGGCTGGGACTCCTTTACTTTCATTCCCCGATGGATTCCGCAAGCATCGTGCTCCGTCGCCACGTGCCCGCTGCAATCAAAGCCCTGCTATTCCCCACCTCGCCCCGCGTTTCCGCATAGTTTCCTACCAGGTGCAGCTTGCATCTTGGCCACGCCGCCGGCCACGATGAGAGCCTCGATGATCTTCGCGTGGTGTTCTGAGTTCACCTCCGTGCTGTGAAGAGAGAGGGGTGGACGGTGAGGAGAGAGCTCTGAGAAGGGACAGTCAGAGCCTACTGGTTATGGATATGGCCTGTGGGACCGGCAAGGCACGGGGCTCTGAAGACCTGACAGGAGAGTGACACCACCTGGAGATACAAAAGTTCTCCAGACAAGCCGTGAACGCTCTTCCTGAGGAGGAGCGGGGCCTTTAAGGAGTTCATCGGAAGGCACCACACGTCTCAACGCCTTGTTCCTGGGGGGCTGTGATGTTAGTAGCCACAACGCTTGTGTTGCCATCGCCTCACGCTGCTTCCCTGGGTCTGGACCCACAGGGGTCAGCGGAACCTTCTATTTGTCCTTTCACTTTCTTCTATTCCTGCCGCAATCCCGAGGGGCTTGAAATTACAGCTCCCAAACCGGTTATATTCAGGGGTGCTGGAAGCTCCCTACAAGTGAGGGGGCCACCGGAGCCTGAACTGTGCCCTCCCCCACGCCCTCTTCCCCGCCTCCCTGAGGTCCTGCTCCTGCTTCTCCCCAAGTCCCTGTCCTCGCACTGCCCATTTTCCCCAAGGCCCTGCCCTCGCACTTCCCCTTCTTCCTGAGCCCCTGTGTCGCCTCTTCTCCTGAGGCCCCGCCTCTTCCTGAGTCCCCGCCCCCGCACTGCCTCTTCCTCCGAGGCTCCACCTCCCGCACCGCCTCTTCCCCCCAAGTCCCCACCCCTGTGCTGCCTCTTCCCCCCCGATGCCCCGCCCCAAGTGCCACCTCTTCCCCTGAGGCCCCGCCCCCATGCCGCCTCTTCCCCTGAGGCCCCGTCCCCGTGCCGCCTCTTCCTCCCGCTCTCTCCTCTCTGCCCCCTCCTCCCTGTCACTTGACCTTATGACTGGTAAAAATTGGGAGACCGTAGCCCACAAAATGACCAAAGGTGTGTAACAAGCATTCATGAAGGGCCAATGCCAAGCTTTGCAAACATGTCGGCTATGGAGAGTGGATTGTCCATTTGCTCAAGGTAGAAAAATCTAGTAGAGACAAGCCTTAGAGAACCCCAAAAAAGTGCCAGAGCGATGGCTGGAAGTCCATTATGTCGTTCACACAGAGCAAGGCGCCAGGTTACAAATCAACTACTCGATTCCTTTTCCCCTGGGACACCCGTGTCTGTTAACCAATCCCACCATCACTGAGTGCAGGGGGCAGAGCAGGCAAGATTTCAAATATCAACGCTCACAGCAGAAAAGCTCCTCATTCATTTTTATGAGACAAGCCTTTCACTATTTCCTTCCACAGCCAGGTAGTGTGGCCCGTGGGTGGGGCACGGGAAGGGGATGCGGAAGACCTGGGCTCTATTCCCAGCTCTGCCACTGTGCCTCAGTGTCCCATCTGTAAAATGGGGATAATGATCCCTGCTTTGAGATCCATAGATGAAAAGCCCTTTGCAATCTGGTTAATAAGCGCTAAGTTCTTGTGTAACTTGCTGGCTACATGTGTATGATGATACACCCATTAGCTAGCAGCTGGCCTACAGAGAGGATAAGAGCCTGCTACTGCTACAGGCTAAGGGAATTGCTCCCTTAGCTCAGGTAGTTGAGGCCTGCGCATTTGGCAATGAAAGTCCTGGGTTTTAACCCAGCTGACAGCTTGTGGTGGCCATTAATTGCTACACACGGGGGGGATTTTTAAAAATGTTGTTATTATGAAGCACTAATGCTTCGGGGAAAGGATGGAGAAATGGTCAGTGCCTGTATGTTTGTGCTGGTGGGTCACGTCGATCTACTACACCCAGCGTATGCCATTACGAGTGGGATCTAAACAGCGTCCGTGGCTCATCAACTTGTCAGTCTCTATCCGAGTACGTTGCAGAACATCCCGAGAGAGCCCAGCAACCTGATAGGCCCTGACTGCCCGGGTCGGGTTTGGGTGGAAAACAGCACGACCCTCCCAGGGCTGGGTTGGGTCTGATGACCTTCTCCTGCCCGTGGGGTTGGCTCAGCAGCTGCGTGGCCTGCTGCCGCCGGCTGTCGCCACCTTGCGGTGCTGCGCACGCATGCTGTGGAGTGGGTGTGCGTAACCGAGGAGTTACAGCGCCCCTCGCTCCACAACACACACACAGCAGTCAGGGGCAGCGTCCGGCTGGCAGCATGGGTGGCAGGCATCTGTGCTGGCTCAGATCTGGCGGAGTCGGGGCAGAAAACAACTCAATCCTCCGAGGCGGGGCTTGGATCTGGGTCGGGCTTGGATCTTAGGCACGAGCAGAGCTCTACACCCTAGGGCCGGGGAGGAATATGCTCTCTAAACAAAATGACTAAGGTCCTGATTCAGAAAAGCATCTCTGTTTGGGAAGAGCACAGAAGCACATGCTGATGAAACCCCATTACAGCCCATGCGACTTTGGCTCGCACTGGCACAGAATTGGGGCCACAAACCCAGAGCCGTGACTCGCAGCTGGCGGCGCTGCAAAGGGCTGTGATGTCACAGGGGCTTGTGATGGGCTGGTTTGCTTTGCCGCAGCTCATTTCAGCGAAAGAGCTCAAGGCGCTCGAAAAACAGCAGGCGGTTCAGCCTCACTCACCCGGGAGCCAGGGCAGCGTTGGGACTATACCCATTTTACAGACAGGCAAAGTGAGGCCAAGTGCCCCAGGTTTCACAGCGAGCCGGCGACAGAAGCAGGAATAGAACCCAGGCATCCTAGCAGTCCCACTGCTCCTCCTACCCCTAAACAAACCTTGCTTTCGATATTGTCACAGGGGAACAAGAGGCAGCAGAGGAATGGTTCAGAAATAAACAAGAGTGGGGGGAAAACTACCCTCCAGATGACCCACAGCAAAACTCCATCCTAAAGAGCATGTCCTTTCCCTCCAGCAGGCCGCTGCGCTCCTGCACGGCGCTCCCAGGCTCCGACACCACAGGTCTATTTAATTTTAAGGAATTAACAGCCTCCTCAATGGCAAATGGGAGAACGGGTGGGCTGTTTTTTTCCCCGTGAGTGGACACTTTCTAAACTTTCTTCCAGGACCAGATGGCCTGTTGTTAAAGGGACGCTGTCAAATAGCTGAAGTCTCCAGCTGCTTTCCCTTAAACTTGTCACTGAGGACTGGCATGCGGAGGCTGGATACCAGCCGAGTTTGGGTTAGCCAGGCAGTCATTTGGAGCTGGACGGCGTCAGAGAAGGGACATCCGTTTTGTTCTATGAGCAGGGACCTCAGGCCAGTTCCTAACGAGCAGCTGTCTGTGGCACCAGCATCGTTGACGCAGCTGGAGACAGCCTCAGCAGAGAGGCATGAGAAGAAAAGGGCCATCGAGATGGAGCCATAGTCAACACTCATGGTTTGTATTAGGGTAGAGTGGCCAACACACCGGGGAATTGAACGTGGTACCTCCGGAGGTAAAAGCACAGGCTGCTACACATTGAGTTACAGCTACCTAGCTGGGCTGTAACACAGCGGTTCTCAACCAGGGGTCTGCTGCCCCCTGGCAGCCCCACGAGCTGATTTCAGGGGGCCGTGGGGCCCCGCGGCTAAGGCATGGGGCCCTGAGCCCCGGCACCCCCATGGGGCTGAAACCGGAGCACAGTCGTGAGGAGCCTGAGCCTGGGTGCCCCCCGCGGGACTGAAGCCAGGAACGGAGCTGTGGGGCTGAGGCCCTGGTGCTCCCCCGTGGGTCTAAAACCCTGAGCCCCCGGGCCCCTGCAGGACAGAAACCCAGACCCCCAAGTCCCCCTACCCCGCATCTGAAGCCCCAGCCCTCCCCTGCATGGTGGCTGAGGTCCAGCGCCCCAAGCTCCGCCACCCTTCTGCAGCTGAAGCCCTGAGCCCTGCAGGGCTAAAGCCTCGAATCTCCTGCCTCCTCCAACCCCGTGACTGAAGCCAGGAACACCAAGGCCCCCTCCTGCTGGGCCCTGGAGTTTTTATAGTATGCTGGGGGGGGGCCTCAGAAAGAAAAAGGTTGAGAACTCCTGCTGTAACAGACTCATATCGTGTGCTGATCCGGCGCAGAAAGGGCTCTGTCAGACCCACTCGTCAGTGGGTTACAACAGCACCTCGCAGCCCGGCTGAGATTACAGTCCCCACCCCCGGTGCTAGGCGCTGTCCATATGTTATAACAAGAAGCAGGCACGTCTCAAAGCCAGCTCACCTTGATGCAGGTGGGCGGAAGAGCACGTCGCCGAAGAGCTCCCCCAGGGCCCGGGGGGTGAGGTGGCTTTTGCTGCCGTTCTGACCCACTTTGCAGAAATGGCTGGTGAGGTGCTGCAGGAGGAGGCCATGCTGCTGGGGGAGAGTGGGCGACTCCAGGACCATCTTCACCCGCTGGCCGCACTCTTCCAGGCTCTGGGTTTCTGTGGGAGAGGAGAGCAAAAGGGAAGGAAGCTTTTAGCCCAGGGCAGAGCATCCCAGCACCAAGCCCGGGGAGCTGGGGATAAGTTTGTCACCCAGGCCGCTCAGGTGTGATTTATTTCCCTTCTCCTCCCATCGGCCAGCCTCATTTCTCTCCACGCTACAGATCAGGGGTTTAGCAAACTCAGGCCTTGTCTACATGGCCCTACAGTTCAGACTATAGAGGAGTGAACGGCATCGTGCACCAAAGGGCTGCGCTGCCCCGCGTAGACAGTGTGAACGTGAACTAACGAGATCCTGTTTGAAGAGGATGTGCCTTTTAACTTGCGCCCGTGTCAGAGAATCACAGCGTAGCCTGAGCCCGCTGGGTTGATTGTCACAGCGGCTGACCGTACTGCGGGTGAGGGTCGCCCCTCTGCCAGCACCAGCCCTCAGGGCTCGAGTGGTCCCTGGACGTTGTGATGGCCCCTTTGCCCAGCGGTGAATTTCACCCTGTCAGAGCAGCTGCATTCTACAGCTGCCTGGCCAAATGTCCACGTGGCGCTGGTGATGTGCCCACCCTGGGAAACGGCCAGGGTTTTATCTACCCAAGAGTCCCTAGCCCCTTCTCAGCAGCTGTAACACACACCGCTCCGCCTCTACTCTCCCTCCACGCCCCTGCAACTTCTCGGCTGCTGCTTCACGTCCCAGCCCCTCAGAACTGAGCCTACCAGGCATGTTGCTAATTCTTTGTAGCGCACCCTTTATGTGCCACCCTGGGAACCGCTGCTGCAGGCATCGCCAGTGGCCGTTCCCTGGTTTACCCCCATGCCCGTAAGGATATTTCATGAGCTCATCTGAGCCAGGCTGTGCCACATGGACACAACTCAAAATGGCCACCTGGGTGCTAAAGATCGGAACATAAACCAATAGTCCTTTGTTGAGCCAACCAAAATACGGTCTGCGTGAGGCTCCTGACCAGGCCAGGTGTCTTGTGTTAAGACAGGGAGACTTGTCCTTTCCTATCACAGCTTCACCCAGAACTGGCCTTTGAAAGAAGCAACCAGTTCTTTTTAATCTGGCCTGCTGGGCCCTGATTGGACCCTGCCTGCTCCCAGCCCTTCTGGCCACTGGAGGACCAAGTCTCACTGGTTCCACAAGTGGCTGATCCTGGGGGCGGGGAGCTTCCTGAGGTAACCCCTAGAGGTCTAAACGTGCCGCTCTTCTCTTCCAAAAGGACTGCTTCACAAGGCAGGGTGTGTTTATAAAAGTGTGCTTGCAATAACCGTAACTTCACCCCCAACTTTGCCTCCCGTGTTCCTCGTTTTAGTGCCAAGGTGAGGTGTGCTCCCTGCAAATTTGGTATCTCTCCCCTTCCCTTTTATTGCCGAAGGTTATTTAGGCCAGAAATAGAGAATCATCGTGCAGGGGTTGCCGGGAGAGTTCTTTAAACCAAAGGGGTGAGTCTTACGCCATTTTAAGATTCCCTGCATGAATAATCATGTGTGTCCCCCCCTCCTTGGTCCCACCCTGGGGCTCGAGCGCAGATGGACCCAGCCTTCGGACATAGGAAGCACATCTCCCCCGCATCATACTGGGTCATTAACAGGCTGAAATGCTACAGGGCAAACACTGATTTCTGGTCATTCCAGACTCACTCCACTGACCTCAGCACAATGAGTCTAAATTCCCCCTGGAGTAACAGAGAGCAGTTTCTGGCCACTTGCAAATACATTCTCTTTCAATCGGCATGATTTCAAAGCACTTTACCGACTGTACAGAGGAACCTCTGAAATGCAGCCGCCTCTAGGGTGGAACATGGCAGCTGTTTAACAGCAAACAGTGACTCAGCAGTTTCGGACAGGAAATGAAGAATTCCATATACAACTGAAGCTGCAGGGGAATTTAAGCAGGCAAGCTGTAATAACCCACAGTGGATTTTGCCCAGGATTGGCCCTTACACCTATACGGAGAAGGATTTGTGCGCTGTAGTTTATAAAAGTGAAATTGCCTCTGTCAGTGGGGCTTGGGGAGGATTTATGTGGTACGCGTGCTGGCAATTTAGTTTTGAGTTTCCTGGCTGACTATGATCTATACCTGACAGGTGAATAAGGGAAGCGTGTGGGTGCTAGTAAGTCACTCAGAGGGTACGTCAGGGGACGAAGAGGAATCATTGTGCTAAAGGGGACTGGGGCAGTTTCAGAGTGTAGGATTTTTTTTTACGGTAACCTGCAAAGGGGGGGAAATGGGTGAGTGACCTTTATTTTTGCTTCTTTGTGCTACGTGAAGCGGGCTAGAAAGGTCTGGGGTGGTAAAATATGTTGGTTTTCCGCTTGCATTAGAACTCCTGTTTTTGGCTACGCTGAATCTCTCCGGATGACTGGCGCTGGGAGGAGAATTATGTCTTCGGAGGCTGTGCTACTGTGATTGTTTCAGACTCGAGGGTTTTTATATGGTTTCTATCAACACTTCTGCTAGTGGGAAAATTTCAACGTTTGGGCCTAAAAAGGACAGAAAAACATCACAAAAATGTTGGCACATTTTTACCAGCTCTGTAGCTGGCAGGAGAAAATTCAATTTGAACGGGGAAAAAAAATGAATTTTTCATGAACGTTTTCTCAAAAATGTCATCCCACTTTTCAAACTAATAGAGTCCTATTTAATTCCAATATTTAACGAACGCTTTGGAGAAAGGACATCTTTGACAAAAATCCAAATGCCTCTTCCTTTTCAATTAGAAGCTCTATTCCTCGCCTGAGTCTCCAAGGAGTTCTCCAGCAAAGCCAAGCGAGAACAGATCTGATATTCCTGCTGTTTCTTAGGTTAAAAAAATAACAGCAGAAAAACAACCCTTTCAGGCTTTCTGTATAGATCAGAAAGAAGTAAAAAAAAAAAAGACACAAAGCTCTTTCTTTTTCCTTTGTAAGTCTCCTTTAAGGGAGGTTAAGATTCAGAGGCGATCATACTTCAGGTCACCGATACATGTCATCAAATTGTGATGCTGCTGTATGCATAGCACGAAGCCATGAAGTCCAAATGAACACGGGGCCCTGACCGAGGACACAGATCGGAGCTTTGAAAATCTGGACAGTAACTTGAATTCCATGACAGACAACAGCTCAGTCAGAAACTCAGTTAAATCAGCCTGGTTCTCCACTGCCTGGCAGCTTGTCTCGACATTTGCGCCCTGCGCAAAGAACGGCGTCAGTGACCGCGCAGCCCGCAGGGCAAGGTGGGACCAGTCCCGGAGAGGTCACATTTTCAGACATAGTCACTGCTTTGGGGTGTCTCAAATCACGCACCCCAAAAAATCAAGGAACCCCAAATGAGTGGCCACTTTGAAAAATTTGACCTCGCTCTGCTCAGTGGAAAAGTCAGGATTAGACGCGCCAGAGGTTAGGACACTGGTGTAGGACTTAAAAGGCTTGGACTCAAGTCTCTGGTCCATCACACAACCTTAGCCTCTCTGTGCCTCAGTTTCCTCTCAGTACTAACAGCCCTCTATTACTCGGGGGGTGAGGCTAAATCCACTATAGGGATGGAAAAGCACCTAAGAGAGAGAGAACCCAGGAGTCCTGCCTTCCAGTCCCCTTGTCTAATCACAAGGCAACACTGCCCAACACGTCTCTCCGTGGGTATTAGAACTGGGCGAAGCACAGGGCGATGCCAGGCGGGTACGTGAGCTCAGCTGGCTCGACAGCCCGTGCCCATGTGGCTTTGCAGCTCGTCTGAAACTGGAGTGGGAGTTAAAAAGGCAGGAGCTAAATTAATAACCGAAGCCTCTATATTTGGAAAGGAAAGCGACTGTTGACCCGAGGAAGGGTGGCGTCAAGGACACTGGAGGGCTCTAATTAAGCAGAGGCCAGGTGGGGGCAACCAGGAATAGCAGGCATGGCACAGCCGCACAGCAGGCATGTGATCTCACAGCCCAGTGCCTGGCCTCTGAGTGACTGCTGCATTTTCATGTGGATTCCAGTAGCATCTGGAGGCCCCCGTCCGGAGCAGAGCCGGGTGCTGTATATATGTCTCTTACACCCCCAAATGCTGGGCTTGGGGGGTGACTTCAAACCCTGGGCCACAACCCGAGCTTGGGCACCTCCCTTCAGCCTCATCTCACCGCGTCTCTTCTCTTCCATGGGCACTAAGGAGACGCCCAGGCTGCCTGGCCAAACAATACTAGTGATGCCCAGCTCTTCTCTAACGCTTGCCACCAGCCGAGCTCCAAGCGCTTTACAAAGAAGGGCTGTACCATTGTCCCTGTTGTACAGGTGGGGAAACTGAGGCACGGGGAAGTGCTGCGTCTTGCTTATGGTCACCCAGCAGGCCAGTGGCCCAGCCAGGAGTAGACTCCGGAGTCCCAGTCCAATGCTCTATCCCCTAAATCCAATAACCGCAGGGAAAAGATTTGCTTCATGCAAGTGTGTCTGTCACCCCCTAATCTGTGTGCCCTCCCCAGGATGACGGGTCAGGGTAGGGATATGGCAGACACATGGCACAATGAGCTGCCACTCAGGGCAGCAAGCCGGGGGTCACCTCGATGGGCTGGGCAGGAAGAAATTACCCAGCAGCCTCCTTTGCTGGTTCAATACGTAGCAGAGATGCTGGGCAAGCCCCTTCCCACCAGCTCCACACCTAGGCACCCTGGCACTGTTTGCAGGTTACAGGTCGCGGGTCGACTGATGTCAGCTGGCCGGCCACCTAATGTCAGTTCTCGCCTCGCTCCAGTCCACAATCAGCCGGGGGGTGGGCTCCCCCTGGGAACGCTGCATACCCGACTGGGGGAATCGGAACCCTTTGCTCAGAAACCAGCTCCTTCGGTGGCTCCATCTCACCACAGCCGTTACATCTGCACTATGGGGGCTGCAGCATCACAGTGCCCCAGCTACGTCACTGTAGATGTTTCCTACAGCGACAGAGGGTGAGTTACCCACCTTCCCAAGCAGCGGGAGGCAAGTGGACGGAAGCACTTTTCCCTCCAGCTAGCCACGTCCACACCAGGGAGTAGGGTGGTTTAAGTACGATG